ATTTTTGGAAAGCTTGAAATACAAGGAACAACTTTGATGTTTGACCCAAGTTCATTTGAAACCTTGATCATGAAGAAAAATGACCTTGAAGATGGCTGTTTCAACCATGAAACTTTCCATACATGGAAAGTTTCTAAAACCCTAATTCCCCAAAATGGCAACTTTCAACAACTCTTGATTTTTCATTATTCCCTTGACTTTTCTTGATCAAATCCCATCCATTGGTCATATTGAACTTAGGGAACATGATCTTGACCTCAAAAAGTCAGGAGTTGACTTTTTCACTGCACAATTGACTTTTCCCCCAAATCTTCTGATTTTTAATTGACTGATCAATTAAAGCCCTTCTGATTAAAATTGATGATCAATATCCCATCCCCAAACACCTTAGGACATATGGAAGACCATGGAAACAAGTTTGCTTCCAAAAACAAATTGAAACCCTAATTTCTCCTTTTTTTTGCCTAGGCATTATTTAGATAAACTGGGTGACCATTCCCACTCCACTATGACCTCTGAGGTACTCGATAAACTTCTACCTCATGCTCACACCAATGATAGATCTTCATGAACCCCTGACAACCCTCTGATGGTTTGTACTAGTGCCTTTGCTTGAGCTTGAAGCCAATATATACTCTCCTCTTGGATGATACACAAATACACACTTGATCCCCTGTAAGAACTATGCTATGCAAATGCAAGATGCTAAAATGCAATGAAACATAAGCCATAAATTAAGAAAAGAGGCTGGTCAAATTTTGGGGTACAACACATTGTATGGGACTATAACCCACCCAGGTCTGTGTCGTTCCCCCATGTCCGCTATGGTTTGTACTTAAAACCAATTGAGGCACGAATCATTTGTGTTATATCCCCACTTTACCTAAGCCTTTGATGTAGTATATGCAAAATTCAAATCCAAATGCATGATTAGGCCTCAACAACAAATAGGTCACAATTCAAATATTATTCCAAAGTGATTTGTCAGGTTGCCCTGTATGTCATATGCAGCATGGTGGATGTACTGGTATGTACAATCTATGACTTTTATATCCATTTGCTGCCTCTTCCACATAATCCAAATTCTTCCATTGTGGTGTTGAGTATAGTTATCTTCCCACTCCCACACATCAACAAATATTCTTTTTATTGCCATAGCATTATTATTAGAGCTAGAGCTCTCTCGTTATCCTAGCACTTCCAATTCATTCATGCATCCTAAGATGGAGTTTCCAAATGTCATTGTCTTTTTGCCTTTAGAAGCTCCCACAACTGTCCATCCTGGTTAGTTTGCTACCTCTTTACTTTTAGCCACATTTGTTACTATTTCTGTGTTTTCAGTACTTTTAATCATTTTTGTTTCAATATCATCCTATTTCTTTTCTATCCACACATGGTTTTTCTTCTCCTTTTGAGGTTGTTGTTTACTCTCTTTACAGTCATGCCCCACCTTCTTGCATTTTATGAATATGGTGATCTCTATTCATACTCTATTGCCTATGTAAATTTCCTCCCAAATGGTTCCCAAATGCTAACTGGATCTTGTAATTCCACTATGATATCCACTTCAATCAAAACCTTGGTATATGACACTCTCAATTTCTTAGTTGTACATTCATCTGTCATGAGGGGTTTTCTTAAGGCACTAGTTATCTTTCCTATACTTTTCTCCAATAGACTAAAGGTAGTTGAGGTAGGATAATCCATATTGGCAGGACTCTGCACATCTCATTTTCCAAGGTGAAATCTTGTGTCTGTTCATGTAGAAACATAGGCTTATGATAGATAGTATATGGTCATCTCCTTAGCACTAAATCATTGTCTATCTTGGATTTGAATCTAATGATAAAATACCCATCCTCATGGTAATATAGGTCTAGAAAATATACAAAATTCCACGTGTTTATCTTAAACTTTTTAACCGCATTCATGGATAGATCTTTATCAAAAGTGTACATAATAAGGGCATCCTCCCAAAACACAAATTCATATGTTATCTCTTGTTCATCAATAATTACTTTTATTTCCCCATTAAGAATGCTAGGTCCAATATATTCTATCTCAGTTCCATTAGAGGGTAAGCGATTACCTTTTTATGATTTCCATCTAGGGTTTATCTTCCTATTTACCCTCTTCACGCTCTTCTTCAATATTCTCTTCTACCATTGGTTCCATTGGTGTTGGCTTGTAAGTTGTGAACGCATATGATGATTCCTAGTTAATTGCTTCACTTGTGTTTTTACTAGTACTTTTCCATCAAGCATTAGACAATGGTAAAAACACACGAACCATAACCGAAGGTGTCGTTGCAACCACTTTCTTTGGCCTGCCCCAACCAAGACCCGTTAGCCCTAACAACCGTCTAACCTAGCAACTCTCCATATAGTTGAACAGTGAAATTCCCAAATTTGCAACCCTAATCCCAATTTCTAACCCTAATCCCTAAATTCCTCTAATTTCTTCCATAATCCTTAGTTTTCTTCTTTTGATCCTTTTGATTCTTGCTGCATAGTTCGATCCTCAGAAGATTAGGTGGTTATCTTCGGCTTAAATTCCTAGATTTCGAGTTTAGGGGACTTGGTAACCGTCGGGTTTTCTATCGGATTGAGAGTGCAGTTCCTGATGGCCTGGGAAAGAATTGTTAGGAACGCTAGAAACGGAAGGAATGGTGGCATTTCAGTCTAGAAGGAGAACAATGGGAAAGGTCCTCTGGATGGGGAACCAACGACGTCTTTCTTTGTAACTAAATTCCCAGACAAGATGAATGCTAAAGATTTGTTTGAGGTGTTTAAGGTGCATGGAGTCATCTCAGAAGTTTTTATTTCTGGGAGGCGTGATAAGAGAGGTAGAAGATTCGGTTTCGCTAAGTTCAGGAAGGTTCATGACGCCAGAGTACTAGCGTGTAATCTTGATAGTGTTGTTCTGGAAGGAAAAAAGATGCATGCTAACATACCCAAGTTTAGCTTAGAATAAAAGCTGATGAATCCAGTTGGTGAGAAGGTGTGGAAGCATAGCAAACCTGGGCGTCCAAGAAGCTCTGAGAAGTTTGCCACATCTGCTAGATCCTTTGCCAAAGTGGTAAGTGGAAGTGAGCCTAAGTCTGGTGGTAAGGTTTGGGGAGGAGGCCCTTGCACTTGTCTTGAGGTGGATGAAGATTGGTTACAAAGGTTAAAACGTATGATAGTGGAAGTTGTCATGGAGGATGGAAATGCTTTCAATATCCAGAAGATCATTAATGAAGAAGGCTTCTTCAACATTAAGGCTATACCTCTGGGAGCTTCTATGTGCCTGTTGGAAGACAATTCAGGTGGAGACGTTGATGTTTTCATCAAAGAAGCTAGCGATTGGTTGGAGGTATGGATCAGTGAGATCCGGCCTTGGGATCAGGAGGTGATTGACAGAGATAGGTTTGCCTGGGTTGTGTGTTGTGGTATTCCCAGTGTCGCCTGGAGTGATAGCAATTTTTGTTTGATTTCGGCTAGCTTGGGTACCTTTATCAGATGTGATGAGAAGGCTAGTAATATAGAGTGCTTGGATGCTGCGAGATTTCTGATTAAGACGGCCTTAGGGGTTATTCAAAATAAGAAGATTGTTGTTAAAGTGTTCGACGTTGCTTACCATATCTCTGTCACTGAAGAAGTTTCTCGTGGCCATCATTATTCGCTGGATGGTGAAGTAGACGAGTTGATAGACTCGGATGAGTTTAAATCTTCAGGCCCCTCAGAATTTGATGGCGTGTGGGAGGAGTATGATGAGGCCGAGAGTGGGGATTCCAGTGCATCGATTAATGAACCTGATGAGAAAGTACCAGCTGCTGAATTCCTAGGTTCAGACTACATCCATTTTGCCTCTAATATCGTGTCTGTAGTTGGTAACAACCTTGGTTTAAGTGATGCAGGTGGTGGTATTAGAGAGAGTATCGTTGGGAACTCTTCCAACTTTTTCGTTTCAAATGGTCACAATCCTGCTAATGTTTCGGTTGACCTTGAACAGAACCAGATCCATGTGGAAAATGATAACTTAAATCTAAAAGGGGATCTAGCTGTGGACCTGGGGCTGCCTCTTCCTCTTATTGGGCCTCCAGATGGGACTCTTGGGCCTGCATTAGTAGGAAAATCCAAAAAGAAAAAGATGCTCCATGAGATTTACAATTGCATCAAGATTCCATACACCCCATCTTATTTCTCAACTCTCCTGCTCACAGCTTCAAAAGGTTACACAGGAACATCGATGGGGGTTTCTGCTAGGGAGGGAAGGAATAAGAACCTGCTGATTAGTAAACCCCTTGAGTCTTGCTCTGAATTCTTGTATGGTGAATCTGTAACTGATACGGATGTGGAAAGAGGAAATTTACGATGTAAAAGGGCCATTGACGAAGTACCATTCAAACTGAGAAATTACCTGATGGATTTAGGGATTCAGGGTGACGAAGATAATGGGCTTGGAAATACTCTAAGGAAAATGGATAGGGAGGACAAGGCTGTTAGATTAGACAAGAAGGTTGTAGCTACCAGTGGATTATGAATATCGTTTCTTATAGTGTTCGAGGATGTTGTAGTTCATTGAAGAGAAGGAGAAATTCTCAAACTCTGCAGAGAGGCAACGCTGACATTTGCCTTATTCAGGAATCAAAAATTACGCATATGAAGGATGGTATAGCGCATAGCATTTGGAGAAATACTGATTTGGATTGGTCAGCCCCTAATTCTTCTGGAAGATCTGGAGGTATTCTTACATTGTGGAATAGGTCAAAAATTTCAGCTATATCTAGTTTTTGTGGTGCTGGGTTCTTGGGAATTCATTTCCTGTGGAAGGATCAAAACCTGATTGTGGTTAACGTTTATGCACCTTGCGGTTCCGCTGATAGAAGGAATTTGTGGAGGGATCTCGCTAAAATTAAAAGTAAAATATCAGGTGCTGGCTAGATCGTGGGGGGAGATTTTAACGAGGTTAAGATCAGGGAGGAAAGAAAAGGTTTAAGTGCTAATAGTCTCAGGGATATGAAGGTTTTTAGCGAGTTTATTGTTGAGCTGAAGTTGACGGATCTTCTGGTGTTTGGTAATAAGTTTACATCGTTCAATTCCAATGGCAAGTGTGGAAGTAGATTGGACATATTTTTGGTGGATGATCTTGCAATTTCCATTCTTTCTCTGATTAATCAAGTGGTGGGCGATAGAGACGTTTCAGACCATAGGCATGTGTGGTTGAATTCTAACTTTGTGAATTGGGGGCCAAAAATGTTTAGGTCCTTCAACTGTTGGTTCTCTCATAAGGACTTCATTCTATTTGTTAAGCAGTCATGAAGTTCTTACCATGTTTCAGGTTCTTACTGTAACATTCTGATTAAGAAGTTTACTGCTTTGAAAAGTGACATTCGGAGCTGGAACCGCAATGTTTTCGGCTGGCTAGATTTAAAGATTGAAGAGTATGTATCTAACCTCAATACGTTAGAGCTGGACAGCAACTTGGATTCTACTTCCCATGATGAAGATTTGAACAAGGAAAGGTTGAGAAATCAGGAGGAGATGTGGAAGAATCTCAGGTTAAAAGAAAGTATGTTGGCTCAAAAATCCCATTTAAATTGGCTTCAGGATGGGGATCAAAATTCAAAGTTTTTCCATGATTCCTTAAAATCTAGATATCGTTCGAACTGTTTATCCGCTATCAAAATGGGAGATGGGATTGAGGAAGACCCTGAGGCCATTAAAAGCGAAGTTGTGAAATACTTTAAGGAGAGATAGAAGACCAAATCTTCGCCTAAGTTTTTTATCGACTTCGAACATATAGTTTGCTTCGATGAGGAAGACAGGATACGGCTGGAAGCAGATTTCTTCCCTATAGAAGTTAAAGCTGCTATTTTCAACTACGACGGTAATAAGTGCCCAGTGCCGACGGTTTCAACTTTAAATTCATTAAGTCCTACTGGGAGATAGTGGGCAAGGATTTCTCGAACTATATTTTGGAATTTTTCGATACTGGTTACCTTCCGAAGACCTTCGCATCTTCCTTCATCTCGCTTGTCTCGAAGTCCAAAAATCCCCAACAATTCGAAGATTACAGGCCTATTAGCCTTGTCAGCTGTGTTCTGAAGGTAATATCAAAGATGCTTGCATGCAGACTCAGGAAGATTATTCATAAAATTATTTCTCCCTCTCAAACTGCTTTCATTCAGGAGCGGCAGATTTACGACGGAGTTCTGTTGGCTAACGAGTTGGATGACTTTGCTAAGAGATTCAAAAAGGACTGCTTGTTCTTCAAAGTAGATTTTGCTAAAGCCTATGATTGTATGGATTGGCTTTATCTAGATGCTCTGCTTTTAAAGATGGGGTTCAGAACTAAGTGGATGAAATGGATCTGTGGTTCTGTTTTCAATAGTTACGTTTCTATTCTCATCAATGGTAGTCCCTCGAAGGACTTTAGGACTGGTAGGGGGCTGAAGCAGGGCGACCCCTTGCTCCGTTCCTGTTAGCTATAGCTGTAGAGGGGCTGTCAAGCTTGGTGAAATCAGCGGTTTCCGGTAATATGCTATCTCAATTCAAAATTGATGGTCAACCAACCATGAGTATTCTTCAATTCGCTAATGATACTCTGCTTATTGGAGACGGCTCGACGTCTAATATTTGGGCTTTCAAGGATATTCTTCGTGCTTTTGAGTTAACTTCAGGTCTTAAAACTAATTACTCCAAAAGCTGCTTGTACGAGATTCTAGAACCTGATTTTCTTGTGGATGCTGAAGACTTTCTTCACTATAAATCTAGAAAGTTGTCGTTTAGTTTCCTTGGTATCACTGTTAGCGGCAACCATTGTCACTACCCTTTCTGGAAGCCGATTCTGATTTGTTTGAGGAATAAATTATCCAACTGGAATGGGAGAAATCTGTCTATTGGGGGCAGAGTCACCCTTATTAATTTGTTTCTAGCTAATCTACCTATCCATTATCTGTCTTTCTTCAAGGCTCCCGATAAAGTCGTGAAGGATATTATTGCAATCTAACGCCAGTTCTTATGGGCTAGAAACTCGAGCAAAACTTTTATTCCTTGGGTTTCTTGGAATTCTGTCTGTAAATCTAAGGAAGATGGCGGTCTGGGTATTAAGCATGTGGATCGTTTCAACAGAGCTTTGTTGGCAAAATGGCTTTGGAGGTTCCAAACTGGCGGCAATGAAATATGGAGGAAGACCCTCACTAATAGATACGATAACCTCAGTATCAAGATGCAAACTTACCTCGACGTTGATAATTCGAAATCTGATTCTCCGTGGATGAAGGATATTATGACCAACGCGTCCCTAAACTCTCATGCCAACTTCTGAAAATTCACGGCCTGTTCCGTTGGTGAAGGTAACAATGTGGCGTTCTGGCAGTCAATTTGGAATGGTGACCTGCCGCTTAAAGTCAGATTTAACGACTTGTTTCTGTGTTGCTCTATGAAGACAGTATCCGTCCGTGAAATGGGATACTGGGAGAAAGGGCATTGGAATTGGAAATGAGAGATTCTTTGTTCGATTCAGACATCCCTCCTGAACCAGACTGGTCTGATTGCTGTAAAATTGCTGGAAAATGTCTCAGTTATCCCCGAAGAGTCCGAAAAATGACGGTGGCTTCTTCATGATTCTTTGTCCTTCAAGGTTAGTTTTTTATATTCAGTTCTATCTTCCTCCTTCTCTTATCAAAATATTGGTTCCGAATGTGCATCCCATCTTGAGTTTCTCTGGAAGACGGTTATTCTGGCGAAAGTTCAAACTCTCAGCTGGAGATTGGTGCTTGATAGATTGCCAACTAGATCTAATTGATTGAAAAGAAAGGTGTTTGATTCCAAGCAAGACTTGGATTGCGTGTTTTGTTCTAGTAGCATCGAGGACGTATCCCACCTCTTCTTCTTCTCGTGCATTAAATCAACACAGGTTTGGAACAAGATTTGCGAATGGGCGGATATAGAGATAATTTCTGAAAATTGTTGCTACTCTCACGCGAAGGTGTGGAACTCGACCCTTAGTGGCCGGTGTCAAGCGAATAGAGTAAATTCGATTTGGTTTATTACCTACTGGAGTATTTGGAGGTCTAGAAATGAATTTATTTTCAATAATGTAGTTACTGAGGTCGACAATATTGTTTTCGACATTAAACTATCTTCTTGGAATTGGTTGATCCTAGGTAGGAAGGGGCGCAAGCAGTGTTGTTTGTATGATTGGTTCAAATTTCCATTTGACTTTTTGTAATTTATCTTTTGGTTTGAGATTTCCTTAATCTCTTATTAATAGATTCTGCTTATCAAAAAAAAACTCTTCATACAGTTAAACCCTCTTATTTGGTTCCTAATCCGAGGATTAAGATTTTAAACCATCTCATATACGATTCAACTGCTGAGAGTGGCGATACTCCTTTGCTACTTTGACTTCGCCAAAAACCTAAGCTCGCTGAAAATCGCCTCAAAAATCATCAGAAAAGGTATTACAATTGTATGTAAAACTTTATTTAAATTTTATTACTTTTAAAATACTTATTACTTATCATTTTTGATATTGTAGTATTTAAATTTAGGAATAGTCTGTAATATTTGTATGTTAATAGTATTAAAATTTAGGAGCACTCTATAATATTTAATTGTTGATTTTGTACCATTTGATATCAAAGACACCGTTTTCATAATAATTTAAATTAATAATATAGGTTACATTTTAAGACTATTAAAAAAAATACTTTTTTGAGTATGAGTTTTAGGATCTAATAAATGTAATTTTTTGAAAATAAAAGGAAAAAAAATATTTTTTTATTCATCAAGAGTTCAGAAAAAAAGAATGGCCATAATGGTTTTATTAATAAAAAGAGATCTTATTTGAACACAAAGTGAACATTTAAAATAATACGTTCAATTTAAATTATAAATTTAGGTGTTGTTTAACTTAAAGTTTATGTCAAAATATAATCTTTGTATTGATAACCTATTTTAATCTTCTGAATAAGGATTTGATATTTTTTTAAAAAATTATTCAATATTGTTTTATAGAATTTTATACTAAAAGTGAGATTCACCATAGGTAAATAAAGAAAAATGAAAGTGAAAAATGCACTGATTTTGAAACATAAAGTATTTGATATTCATTATGGTTTTTGATATTCATTATGAAAGATAAAAAACAGTCAGACAAGCTTGTGTCTTCCGTAGCCCGAACTACGTTTGCTCTGATCTTTCATGCTGTATGAAAATACGTAGGCATAGGATGCCGTATCCGTATCCTAGCGAGCAACCTTCCCCTCCTTTTCCGTAGGTAGGCGAACTACGTTGACTCTGATTTCTCGTCCCAGACGGGAATACGTAGGCATAAAGTGCGATACTTAGCCGAGTCATTTTCTTTTCTTTTAACCCTTAACCCTTTAGAGTAGATAGAATCACAATCCGTACTAGAAAACAAGCGTGGATCTCGTCGAGTACGACGGACGTGAGGGGTGCTAATACCTCCCCCTGGCGTAATCGACTCCCGAATCCAGGATTTGGTTGCGACGACCATTCCTTTCCTGTTTTGTGTTAGGTTTACTCTGAGCGTTTCCTTTCCCTCTGTTGGGATAAATAACGCACGGTGGCGACTCTTCTGTCATAACCGGCGCCGATTTTCGCAGTAGCGACAGCTGGCGACTCTGCTGGGGACTCCAACAGTTCCCTACGCGAGTCAGTCCTAGCGCTTGTTTTCCCGTCGTGGGTTTTGTATGGATTTACATTTCTGTCTTTACTTTCCGCATTTTATTGTCAGCTTTATATTGTTATTGCTGTTGTGTATGGATCTCTGATTTTGTATGGATCTCTGATTTTGAAACATAAAATATTTGATATTCATTATGGTTTTATATATTCATAATGAAATTTTCAATAAAAGATACTTTATTTGAAAACAAAATTGGACATTTAATAGAATGCCTTGTATTAAAACTATAAATTTAAATGGAGTTTATTTTATAAATTAATGTCAAAATATCACTTTTGTATAAATAATATTTTTGTAATCTTCCAAATAAGGATATAACGTTTGAAAAAGTTATTTAATCAATATTGTATTTTTAAAAAATTATATATAATTAATATGAGATACACTTGAAAGTTAAAATATTTGAAATTTATTTCTTAATATTGTTTTGTCCTTTTATTCACATTATTCTAAAGCAACTATCAAACACATTATAAATAGTCTATTGGCCCTATGATAATGTCAACCTTTAAAACAAAATGGCATTATGCAAACATTTGTTGTTAATCTTTTTTATGATTTGCATTGCTTCGGTGATAGTTGCTGGTGATAATCTCAATTATATTATTTTATTATATTGTTATATATTATAGTGCACATTAAATCAGATAGGTTTTTAGTTTATTTTGATTATTAGAAGTTCTCACCATTATATTTTGTTTATAATGAATTTTAATGATTCTTGCAGAAGGATCACAAGTATGCTTTTCGTCATCATTATGTCCAACTATGTCAGATCGGTGTGACAAGCTTTGTATTGAAAGAGCTCATCATAATCGTGGATACTGTATAGATGGGGGTATGTGCTGTTGTGAATAGACATTTGGGTGTTTTTAAAATTAAATAAACAGCATCTTCAATTGTATCTTAAAATATTCTAGAACTTGGTTCTTAAAATTATAATAAAAATAAATTGAATATTATTATTATAATTGTTATTTAAAATGCCATTACTATAGTTACTATATATTTTTGGTGTGAAAAAATTTACAATTTTTCACTGTAATGTTCTTATTTAATTGTAGTATTTATTAATTATAATACATTTAATAATAAATAACATGACAATAATGAGTTTTAAAAACTATTCTCCATAATTTTTAACAGGAAATTCTTTTTATATATTTATAATGATTAAATATAAAATAAATAGTAAATTTTCATGTATAAAATATAATACTTCTATGTTAAAAGTATACTACGACCCTCTGTCCTAGTATTCATTGTTCTTGGATTCTCAAAATGTTCAAACATTGGACAGAAAAGTACCTTATGATAAAGGTTTATCAGATTATGATTGGGATAAACCTATAGTGATTTTGAGAAAAAAATTATATGGAAATCTTACTAGACAAAGAGCTAAGTTCATCATTTGGTTGTCATGCTTAGATAGGTTATCCACCAAAGACCATCTTCATCGTTTTAATATCATCACTGATTGTAAGTGTGTGTTTTGTGGCTTACAGGAGAATTGTAACCACCTCTTCTTTGAGTGTGTTATCACTAAAAGAGTTTGGTCCGATATTCTCAATTTGATTAACGTGTTACATAATTTGAGGGTTGAATTTTATAATTACATTAGATTTTCTAAATGACAGGTGAAAAATGTAGCAAAAACAAAATCATGAAAATTCCTATAGATGAGATTATTTATGCAATTTAGATAATTTGTAAGAAGACTATTTTTCAGAAATAGATGTGACTCGCTCTAAAGAAATAACATGATTGACATTATCATTATGAGAGCTAGTAGTAATAGAAAATAAAACAAAAATTGTAATAGAGATTAATTGTTGAATCTTTTTTGTCTGAGCTGTCGCTACTGCGAAAAACGAGGCCGGCAAGACAAAAGAGTCGTCACCTTTCGTTATTTATCCCTCAGAACGGGAAAGGAAATGGTTATGAGGAGTTATTCAACTTGGAGAGTGGGAGAGAGGTAGTGGGTTTTAAACTTAGGGTTTGAAGAGGGAAGTTTCAAATACTCTTGAAGAGGGAATAGGATTCCAAGGATATGGATTTTGGACACTTTGGAGAATATTAACCACATAAAAATGCATTTAACACATATAATGTTTCAAAAATTCTAATTAATTTTCGTTTCTGATTTTTAGAAAATTGAACAGTGTTAATCGGTTAACCATATAGGTTAATCGGTTAACACCTTAAAAAATTGAGTCAGAATTGAAAATTTAACAGTGTTAATCGGTTAACCATATAGGTTAATCGGTTAACACATGAGAATTTTGGAAAAATTGTTAAAAACAGAATGCAAACATAATTGAAAACATATTGAAAACATACATAATATCATGCATACATAAAATAGCAAAAGGTCAGATGTCACCTTCATCCAGAATCCCAAGTTCTCGCCGAATTTTGTAGAATGGTTCTTTCGCCAAAGGTTTGGTAAAGATGTCGGCGATTTGATTGTGCGTGTCGACGAGAGTAACATCTACATCTCCATTCAAAATGTGATCTCGAAGGAAGTGATGCCGGATATCTATATGCTTTGTCCTTGAATGCATGACCGGATTCTTCGTGATGTTGATGGCACTTGTGTTATCACATCGAAG